ACATTTGAGAAACCTGCCATTCCAGCTGAGATTTGGAAAACATGCCAATTCATAATTGATGTTCGTTTTTTTTCTTTAGGTTGAAACTACTAAAAAGTTATAAACTTGTACGAAAATGACTTTTCATGTTGTATTTTACATGTTTCTTATTATTGTTTGAAAAAAGAGTATTTCAATGAATTTATTAAATAAATTTGTTAATTATTCATTATTTTGTTTCAGTGTGATAATAATTATTTTCCATGTAATGTGTTATTAAATAAAAATTATTTATTAAATGCGATTAAAACTAATAAAAAATATTTCTTAGTATTAATTATTATTTTACATTTATTATTCATAATAAGTGTATATTATTCAAATTAACTTTTAAAGGTTTAGTGGGATGGCATATTTATTAAACAAATTTAAAAGCATAACCAACACTTTCAATAAAATTAAAAAATATCCTAAGAAGTGTTTACAAAGTAATAAATAATCTAATTAAATAATCCGTAATTCAAAATGCTTAAAAATATTATATTTTCCAAAAAAAAGTAATAACTAATAAAATTAATAAAGAATAATTATAATAGAAAAAAAGTTAATTAATTATAATACAATTAAAATAAATAAAACAAAGAAATAAATAAAATAATTATTAAAAATAGTAATGAAAAAATCTTTTGTAAAAATTTATAACCATTCAATACTGCCAACCTAAAGAAAAAAAAACGAACGTCAATTCTGAATTGGCATGTTTTCCAAATCTCAACTGGAATGGCAGGTTTCTCAAATGTTTTTTGAAATGACTCGTTTTTCAAGACTACTGTGAAGTGGCACGTTTCTGCATCTAACCGACGAAATATAACAAGAGAAAGTTTTAGCGTAAAAACAACAATATTAAAATATACACAGCGATTATCGAAATATTTTTTAATTACATAAAATAATTATATTATGGTGCAGAACATAATCACGGCACGAGATTACGAATTTCTCTGCCGGCTTTTCGGCAACAGGTCTCTAGCGTGGCTTTGTCTTCTACTAAAATGGTTCGTATGTGCACAACCAGGCGGTAGGTGCGCCAGATTCAATTTAAATTCACAAAGATAATTATGTAATAAATAATACTGCAGGGTCACACTATTAGTAAAAAGTAGGTAGGCCCACGCTTTCTCTGGTAAAGATTTATTCAAGAATATATTCCCATTGAGTAAATCCAGGTAAAACTGCATATTGCAGCATGTGCAAACTATTACATTGCATTTCAAAATCTTTAAAGCGAAGATTCAAAGTTAGAAAATACTCTAGTCGAAAGTACCTATACTCTGTCTCACGAGAGAAATACCCTCGAAAAAAAATTATGGTATTCTACGCGCAGAATGTTATAAAATAAGGCGTGGAATATTTTTTCTCTAAACCAGTCAAATTTCATGTTTCAACATGTCTTGTTCACAAAAAATATTAACACTAACATATACTCGTACTCCAGAGTTTTCTGATTCAAGGTCGCAGGCCTTTTGGATCTTCGGTTTATGATGCGCCCTAAACATATGTTAAATTTGAAAAAAAAATTTTGTTGAATCTTTTAAATAATTAATTTAACAAGTTCATATTCCAAATATCCAATTTATTCTGACTTCAACCATATATAATTTTCCATATTTTTAATATTTTTTAATAAAAGTTTTTAACATTTTTATAACAAACGCCATACCGTTTGAATTGCAAGAAAACAAGAAATGTGAATTTAACAATAAAAAAATTAAAAATTTTATATTTTTGAAAAAAGTAATTATCCCATAGACGGATACAATGCAGACGTCATGTGGTGGCAACAAAGTAACCACTACTCGATCAGAGTTGAATTTGTATTATGAATTTTTTGTACTTTTGTACTTGATTTGCAAAAAGCGTATGATGAAATATATTTAAATTATTATTGCGTTATTTAGTGCATTATTAAATGTAAATTTAATGACTTGGCCTGCAAACTTTCCATATTGTTTCTGTAAGTTGTAAGACAGACAAATTTAGTCAGTTTCCGACAAATTTTGTGAGTGGAAGGTTGTTTAAGAGAAAACCTTACAAAAATTTGTATTCAATTTAAGTGAATTTATAAATATTATTTATAAAGTTTTATTGTTTAACCATGGAAGAAAAATTTGTGAATGAAATGTTTTTTTTGCCAATAAAAATAAATAAAAAAGACCAGATAGGTTCATAAAGATTTTGATAAAAAATGTAATAAATAATTGTTTGTTACAAATATATTTTAATATTTTTTGTGAAATGAGAAAAAAAATTTCTAATTTTGAAGTGGTGCCGTAATTTTCCCCAAATCTCAAATGTCATAATATTCATTTGACATAAAACCAGTTGACATAACCAATATTTGTCATAATTTGACTTTAGCATAAATTTTAATTGACATACTAATTATTCAGCATAATTCGCATTTGACAGAATGTTTATTTAGTATAAGTTATATTCGGTATAACTTTCAATTGTCAAAATTTTTATTTGGCATAATATACATTTGTCATAATCTTTATTTGACATAATTTTCATTGATCATAATTTTAATTTGGCATAATTATCATTCATCATAAAATGTATTTGATATAATGTTCATTCGTCATAACTACTTTTTGACATAATATTTATTGGTAATAATTCTTAACTGGTATAACGCTAATTTAACATAATGACTATTGGACATAATGCTCATTTTTCATAATTCTTAATAATCATAACTGTCATTTGTAATAATCACTGTTTGATATAATGTTTATTATTAATAATCAGCAATTGACATAACGCTTATTTAGTATAATGTGTATTTGACATAATATTCATTTGTCATAATTTGCATTTCACAAAATGCTCATTTGTCATAATTCTTATTAGTCATAACTTTCATTTGTCATAATTTTTATTTGGCATAATTATCATTTAGTATAAAATATATTTGATATAATGTTTATTCGTCACATCGATTGTTTAATATAATTTTCATTTATAATAATTCTTAATTGGCATAAATTCAATTTAACATAATTGTTATTTGATATAATGTTAATTTGTCATAATTTACAATTCTCATAATGCTCATTTGTCATAATTCTTATTAGTCATAACTGTTATTTGTCATAATTACTGATTGACATAATGTTAACTTTTTATAATAAGCACTTGACATAATGTTTATTTCGCATAATTTAAGTTTGACATAATGTTCATTAGACATAATTTTAATTTGACATAATGTTCATTGTTCATAATTTTTATTTGTCATAATTATCATGCAGTATAAAATGTACTTGATATAATGTTCATTTGTCATAACTATTTTATGACATAATGTTTATTTGTAATAATTTTTAATTGGTATAACACTAAATTAGTATAATGTGTATTTGACATACTGTTCATTTGTCATAATTTTCATTTGACATAATTCCCATTTGTCATAACTTTATGTGTCAACGATTTTTTGCTGTATCTTCCCATCCTTGGTTTTTTAATTAGTAGTTTGTATATGTTGGTAAAGTAGATTAGGTGGCGCTGTCTAATATTTCTGAAATTAATTCTATCTTGCTTTTAAATATGAAAATTACAATTTTAATATTGTACAATTTTTTAATGTCATCATTATTAATATGAATTGTCATATTATTTTTAAAAAAATGTAATTGAATTGTACAATATTAAAATTGTAACTTGGAAAAAAAAGTAATTTTTCATATTTAAAAGCAAGATAGAATTAATTTCAGAAATATTAGACAGCGCCACCTAATCTACTTTACCAACATATACAAACTACTAATTAAAAAACCAAGGATGGGAAGATACAGCAAAAAATCGTTGACACATAATTTATGACAAATGGGAATTATGTCAAATGAAAATTATGACAAATGAACAGTATGTCAAATACACATTATACTAATTTAGTGTTATACCAATTAAAAATTATTACAAATAAACATTATGTCATAAAATAGTTATGACAAATGTTAAATTGAATTTATGCCAATTAAGAATTATTATAAATGAAAATTATATTAAACAATCGATGTGACGAATAAACATTATATCAAATATATTTTATACTAAATGATAATTATGCCAAATAAAAATTATGACAAATGAAAGTTATGACTAATAAGAATTATGACAAATGAGCATTTTGTGAAATGCAAATTATGACAAATGAACATTATGTCAAATACACATTATACTAAATAAGCGTTATGTCAATTGCTGATTATTAATAATAAACATTATATCAAACAGTGATTATTACAAATGACAGTTATGATTATTAAGAATTATGAAAAATGAGCATTATGTTCAATAGTCATTATGTTAAATTAGCGTTATACCAGTTAAGAATTATTACCAATAAATATTATGTCAAAAAGTAGTTATGACGAATGAACATTATATCAAATACATTTTATGATGAATGATAATTATGCCAAATTAAAATTATGATCAATGAAAATTATGTCAAATAAAGATTATGACAAATGTATATTATGCCAAATAAAAATTTTGACAATTGAAAGTTATACCGAATATAACTTATACTAAATAAACATTCTGTCAAATGCGAATTATGCTGAATAATTAGTATGTCAATTAAAATTTATGCTAAAGTAAAATTATGACCAAAAAAATTATGACAAATATTGGTTATGTCAACTGGTTTTATGTCAAATGAATATTATGACATTTGAGATTTGGGGAAAATTACGGCACCACATTTTGAAATAAAATATAAACAAAAATTTATGTTTCTAAGATTTCTGTAAAAGAGTCTCATTTTCAAAAATATATAAAATTTGAATTACTTTTCAAACAACGAACGCTTTTATTTATCGCAGTTTCACTGTAAAGCTTACTTTCTAAAAATTGGTAATTTATCATCATTTTCTAATAATTGATGTAAAAAGAAATTAAATACTTATTTTAAATATAATATGCACACTTTTCTTTTACAGATGGTGCAAAGTACTCAAAAGAATATATTAATTAATTTATATGAAAGCAGTAACGCCTAACATTTTAAAAAAGATGCGTTGGATACTTTGTCGACTATTAGAGTACGAAAAATCAGGAGCAGTACAATCTCCTAATAAAAAAATTACGCCTTCAAATGATAGCTAAATTTGACGAATTTGACAAAACTGCAATACGGAAAAAGTACATTTTATTTATTTTAATAAAGAGATGCCAACATTAGATAAAATTTTGCTAGCTATTAACACTGACCCGCAAATACCAAATTTATCAAGTGCTTCTTTGCATCGTGTTTTACTCAATTTAGGTTTTAAATTTTGCAAAAGAGGAAGGAATAGTATGATAACTGACAGATAAGATTTGTTTTTATAGCGCAGAAACTATCTCCAAAGTCTATCAAAATATAGAACTGAAGGTCGCACAATATATTATTTGGTCGAAACCTGCATTAATGCAGGAGATGTTTCCTCTAAAGTTTGGGAGGATACAACAGTTAAATCTGCGAAAGATGCATTTCTACGTGGATTATCAACTGGTTCATCTAATCCAACTGGAAAGGAAAAAGATTTCTTATATTGCATATTGGAAGCAAAAATAGGTTTGTTCCGGATGCATTATTATGTTTCAAAAGTAAGAAAAATTCATCAGATTACCACGATGAGATGAATAGGGATACATTTAAAGATTGGTTTCAAAAAATATTGCCTACATTGGATGAAAACTGCGTAATTGTCATGGACAATGCTCCATATCATTCGGTGAAGGAAGAAAAAATTCCAAACATGTCTTGGAGAAAAGAAGAGATACAAAATTGGATGCTTGAAAAAGAGGTAGAATTTGAGCCATGGCTGATCAAGTTAGAACTGATTGAAATTGTTAGCACGGTAAAAAAAATTACGATAAGTACGTTATCGATGAAATCGCCAAAAAATCGAATGGATTAATTGTTCGATTTCCACCTTATCGGTGCTAGCTGAATCTGATTGAAAATGTTTGGTCCCAGATAAAAATATATGTAAAGTCTCAAAATACAACGTTTAAAATTCCAGATGTAATGAAATTACTCAACTGTGGAATAGAAAGAGTTACTCCAGAAATGTGGGCCAATTATGTAAGGCATGCATTGCAAATGGAAAGAGAATTTTTCACAATTGATAATAATGCAGACGAAATGTACGATCATTTAGAAAATTTTGTATTTACTGTAAACACTGGAGAAACAAGTTCCGAGGACGAGCATGATGAAGAAGGTATTAAGATTGATTCACATCACTATATTATTAATTTTAAAAATACTAATAAAAAATCTTCTTTTACAGGTGTTGATGTAATGCAATCAGATAGATCTTTCTTGCAGGTATTTTATGTTATTTTTATATCACTTATTAGACAATTCAAATGTCCTTTCTTCAAAAAAAAAAATAGTAATAAAAAAAGAACATTGACATAAAAATTCTTTCACCTTAAAAAAATGAGGAGACGGACAAAAAATTCTCTTAAAACAACAACGCCTATGAATCTTCCAAATTTTTTTTTAAAAAAACCAAAACTAACACGTTATAGCAAGGCAGAAATGGAAACAATAATTAGAAAAATCCATTTCATTTTTTTGTTCTGATCAAATAAGAATATTGGAAACTATAAAGGGACTAAATTACATAAAAATAAATTTGAATGTAAAGAAGAATCGATTTCCATTTCTATCTTAGAGAAAGAAATTAATTTACCAATAATAAAACCTTACGTTACTGAAGATGCATAGAATACGTCGACAAGATATAAATAATATTAAACCACAATAAATCGACATAAATTGACCCTCGTGTTGACACATATTATTTTCATAGTCATCCCGCGAACAAATTATTGGTCGTGCGCGATCACGCACCATAGTTTAATTATTAATTAGTGTAATTTGATATATCTATTTATATTGATAAATAAATTTTATATTTTCAAGTGAATCCTTAATATCATTTATCATTATTTCATCGATTGACCACTCATTTTGAAAGTCGAGTCACGAGTCAACTAGTAAGTATAATAATTGTTGTTCGATTTCAGTTTCAAGAAACGCGGTTAGCATCGCCCCGTAATGTTTCACAGAGGTTGCCCCCCCCCCCCCTTTTGTAGAAATGGTAAAAAGAAAAGAGTATTTAGTAACATGGTAATGCGATTAATTTAGAGAATTAATATTCATCGTTATAACTTGAGATTTAAAACGTAAGAGTTAAGATGTAATAACTTAAGACATATGACTTCAGTGAGAGAACTAGAAGTAATCTGACTGATTACTTTTGAATACGTGAAGGTTTTAAGTAATTGAAAATACAATTCTGTATTTTCTATTTACTGGATAATATTTTATTTTTAAATTCACCTGATGGTTTTCGGCTAATTGTACTGCCAACTTGAGTTGCCATGTTCAGGAAATAATGTAAATGTTCACATACAAAACAAAGATATATATGCTGCGGGATAGTGATGCATATGAGCAAGACGATCCGAGAAACGAGCGAGAAAATCGGACTTTTTAATTTTGACAACCGAGAATATAGTTTGTTTTGTTTTAATAAAACGATCTTCTCGGCTATCCGAGCGAGCTTCACGAGTATCTCATTTTGCAAATTCAAACATGTAAAAATTGAACGGAGGTTAGTAGAAAAATGATTTTAATTTTTTTGGTTAAAAAATTAATAAATTACTATTAATATATTAATAACTGTTATCGAAAAATAATAATTCTTTTAACAAATTAAAGTTATTTATTATTCTAACCATGTTAATTTTGATAATTCCACATTGTTAAAAAGTATAAATCAAATAAATTTATCGAATTAGTGGTAATTTTTTTTTATAAATTAAAATTAGTTAGGTATAATTCTAATCATGTAAATTTTAAAAATTACACATTGTTACAAAACTATAAATTAAATAAATTGAAATAAATAATGAATTATTAAGGAATAAATCGTTAATTTTTATTTAATGTATAATTTGATTTAATTTAATGTCAATTTTTGCTAAGTATTATTTATTAAATAATACATTTAACCTACAATTTATTTGTTAATTAACCTTTAAAAACTATATTTATATAAAACTTTCAAACTAATAATCTTAATTATATATTAGATAAAATTAAACTTTTGAAAATGCTAATATACCTCTCTAAGGATCTTTTAAGATTTTGAGTTTCTTTTAATAATTCTCCCATTATCTTTGACGTTTCCGAGATACTCCGAGAACTCGATCGTTTTTGTGTTAGTTTTCGGGACGAGACGATTTGATAAAAACAAATAAAAACTCGAGTTGTTATTTACACTACATCACTACTGCGGGATATATATTTTCATTTTCTTCGACGTACGGCTGCAAGAGGTCGAGAATGTTTTAATCCATTTTTTAATCTCTTTGTCTTTTTAATTCTTCGTCGCATAAGAAATAATGTGTGTTTTTGATTCTGATGTTTTCGAAGATTAATAACACGCAACTTCCTTTTGTCATTAAAAAAATGCCATATTATTTCGCCAATAAAAGCTAACAATGACAGAATGTAACCGAAAATCAAAAGTACCAAAAATCGTAAAAGCAGTAATTTTGATTCATTTTCATTTATTATTGATGACTTGTCACTCAAAGTTGCCTGCTTCTGAGAGTTGTATATACCCAATTTTGAGAGTAATCCCATTTCAATAAACAGAAGAATTTTCTTATTAAAATTGTCCATTATCGGAAATCCAGGCTCTACAATAAAAACAGTTCCCCTGTAAGATAGAGATTCATCAAGAATTTTGAATTCTTCTTTTTTCTGCAATTTTCTGTGTCTATTAATTATATTATCAAGTACATCAGATGCGACGGAGCATGAGACATTTTTGTATTTAATTAATTCATTTAGACAATAAAAGAGATGATCATTTTTGATGTGTTTTGTTTTGTTCTTTAATTTTTGAATGTACTTCAGATCATCGTCATTTTTCTCCAATAGAGATAGGACACTAGATCCTAGAGGTAACTTGCTTGCAGCAAGATCTTCAAGCGAGTTAATTTCTTGATATTGACTGAAATAGAATTCCATATCTGTCAAGGCTGAATGTAAATCTCCAGAATAAATCGTGACCGCTAATAATAAACAGCATAAAACAATTCTTTCTCTCATACTTTTTGGAACGTTTGAAAGTCCGCTTTCCAAAATGACACGTACTATGTCGAGTGTCAGCCAAGAATTCTTATCAAATTTTAAAAGTATTAAAATAACTTTTAAAGCAACAATAAACAATATATTTATTATTATTGTGATAAACAATTTGTAACTTATTACATTCATAATGACAGCAATTGGTATTTTTGGAACTACGATATGTATAGGTATTAAATGTATAACTCGGCTACAGTGAAATTTTCTTTGATTTTGTGCGTGAAAATATTGTACAGCATGATGAAGAAATTGAACTTTTCCTGATGGCAAACCTGACTGTATTAAGTTCTTCCTTTTCACAAACTGTAGGGAATAATTTAAAAATATTGCCATTGTTTTATGGAATTGAGAATACTTTATAAGTTCTCTTATTTTAGCAATTTTCAGTTTCTGACCATAAAGATTATTTCCTTTGTCCGGAAACCAGGAGGATAATAGCCGACTATTTTGTGTTGTGTAAATTTTACTGAAAGGATTAAAGTGATGAATAGTTGCAACTTGTTTTATAATTGGAAATCGGTTTTCAAGGCTCAATTTACCATCAGTTAATTGAAGAACGGTAAAATCTAAAAATCCTCTCTGACAGAATTTTTTTAAAAGCATCATATAATTTATTTTTTTGTCCTTGGAAAAATGAATAATTAAACATTTTGGTCGAGTATATTGATGAGAGAGATTTGACAATAGTTTCATTGGCTTTTCTAAACTGTTGATTAATTTTTCATCGTTAGAAAATGTGATAATGATAAATATTGTTGTCTCTCTAGGATTTCTACTAATATGCCTCTTAAATCCGGAAAATTTGTCATCTTGATTAATTGTAGTAATAATTGTGGGTACACGATAATTAATCATTTGAATAAAGTCGTTAATTTTAAACGATTGATTTACGTTCTCCTGATCAATGAGAATCATTACTTGATGTTTGGCTGCCTTCTTTGTAAAATAGTGAACAAAACTATTCATACGTTGATAAATATTTCTATCTACTTTTCCACCTGCTTCTCCTTGGATATCCGTAAGACATGGTAAAAATAGCGAAAGACAAATAAACTTTACAACAAATGCTAACATTGTCTTATAAACATAATTTTTTAGTCTTTTCGAAATCGTTGTTAAAGTTCTACTGTTGAATCTATTTCATTTTTTGTACCCAAGCATCGATTTTAGTAATCAATATTTTTTCCTACATTTTTTACCAGCAAATACTTTTTTGTAAAGCTTAGTTCTTTGATTTATGATAAGTTATCCATTAATTTTTCCGTTGTATATTTTGCATTTTGTGTATCCAGGCAACGTTAATAATAATCAATAATTCATAGAATTTTATTTTATCATAATTTGATCTTTTGAAATTAGAAATTGTGACCTTCTGACCTTAGCTTAAAAGCGAGGAAAATTTTATTTTAATCTTGAATTTACGCAACGATTAGCATTGCTCAATTTAAGACTTTTCCTAAAAAACAAAATAAACGCGATGGCTTAACCCTGACTACTCTCCCCTAATATTTGAGTTAATTTAATTATTATTATTATTTAATTTAATTTATACTTTAAATATAATGTTAATTTAAATATAAATTAAATTTGATATTTCTGTCGAAAGCTTTCCAATTTTTATGTCATAATTCCTAAAAAAAAAAACAACTATAGTAATTTATTTTCACGGAAGATGGATTTTTACCATTGTCTTTTGTAAATTTCATAGTTCTTTTTTAATTATTAATATATTTATGAAAATTAGTTTCAACGATTTATCAACTTCAGTTTCCTATTTTCATATTAAAATTTGCTACTGTTTAGAAATATAAGTCCATAATTATTATATTACTTTTTCCAATATTAAGATTTTACCTACATGGCACTTTTTGTATAGATTATTATAGACCTACCTTATTTTCGTTTAGACTATTTTCATCGCTGCTTGCTTGTTCATTGTATTTTCTCTTTGGCAAAATAGCCTGAAATGAAGTAAAAATATCAGATTTTTAATTAAATTTTTCATTAATCTTATTACAGTAAAATAATAATTAAATAAGGACTTACAGAATGTTCATTATTGTCTGCAACCTCTAAGCGCGTCAGCAGGAGACGATTGGAACGCATGAAACGTTCCTTAAATTCATTCCAACTTTCCAATTTGTATATGCAGGCGTGACAAATATTTTTCGGTAAATTCTGCTCACATTTAATCTGAAATTTATACAATAAATTTTTTTAAAGTTTTTATAAATGAATAAATTTTAAATTCTACTGTCTGCTTTGGTGTTCTATTAATTACATCTAACCATCATTTTAAGTTTATCTCAAAAATTTTAAATTTTTATTAAAATAAAATTAATTTATTAAAATTAATTAATAGCGTCCTGCAACATATTCATGAAAACTTCTTCTTTCTTTTTTCTATAATATATTTAAAACTCTCACCCAATTAGCAAGAAATCTCAGGATAGCAAAACAAAAAAAAATAAAATCTAAAAATGTAGAGAATTTGAAATTTAAAAATCCACAGATTTTTGAGATAGCTGATAAAAACTATAATATCAGATTTCTAAAAGTTAGAATAGCTGATCCAATATGGTGGATGAATTTTTCGAGAAAGATTTAACTGCTGCGCAAGCACTTTATTTTCCTATCTGATGACTTTTTCGGACATGTGTGGTATAACAAATTGTAAATATTATTTTTCTTAAAAAGGCGTCACGGTTTAAAGGGGTTGTGTTCGAACCCGAGGTGAATGAGGACGGGGTAGTATTAAACCACCTTTACGTCTGCCACCAAACGTCCTGGATGAGAATAATTCCGTAATATATAATTACATATTTTTATTATTTATTTAATAAAGTTTTCTTTAATTCATAATGTGCAGAATAATAATGAGAATTTTTTAATATTATAATTGAATAAAAAATTTATAACTTTTTTTAATTAAAACTTCTTTTATCAGCAATTAACAAAAATTGTTGCACAATCAACAGTAAGGGCATTAAATGCCTAATTTAACAAAAAAGAACAAGACGAAAAAAAAGAAGAAGAAAATAAAAAAAGAAAGAAGAAAAGAAGAGGAAGAAGAAGAAATAGAGGAAGAAGTGACATTAAAAAAAAGATACGATGGAGGAGGAAATTAGAAATGGAACCCTCCGCCGTACAAAAAAGACAAAATTAAATAAAAATTTCAAACATGAAAACGACGATTATTGTAACTGTCGGAGAGACTATCGTTATGTCGATCGAAGAAGTAATGAAATAGACAATCAGTATGACGATCGGGACGACCGTTATAATAATCGTCGATAAATTAAAAAAAAAGATTAATTTTCGTAAATCTGGTTTCATACATTACTACGATAATAATCATAGTCAAAATACTCGCAAAATATATTTAGAAGTGGAAAATTAGTTGAAAAACTGTGCCCTCTTTTAAAAAGTTAAAAAAATATACTTTAAACTAGCAACTTTGTCGTCCGCAAGCGGCCGACTACGTTGCTCGTGTGCATTAACCATATCTTTATTCACTTCTTTTTTTTCAAAAAATTTAATATTAGAAATTTACAAAAAATTTCTTCATATTAAATCTACCACCCAAGGAGCACGGAATATTGCTTGAATGTCAAGGTGATATCAAGCGGGAATATTGTTGTGACATTCAGGCGATATCATAATGTCCGCTTCATGGGGACATTCTACGGTGATATTCTTGTGAAATTCGCGTGATATTTGTATGGTACTGAGGGAATATTCCCGTGAAATTCACGCAATATTAAGAAAATATTCCTGGGATATTAAGGGAATATCCCTGTGATATTGAGACAATATTCCTGTAATTTAGAAAATTCTAAAATGTTGTTTATTTTGAATATTTAATTAAACAAATAAATCAATAAAAAAAAATTGAAATTTTGTTAGAATTTTATAAATTATCTTATTAATATCACTGGAATATTCCCTCAATATCAGAGGAATAATTCACTCAATATCACACAAATTTCACGGGAATATTCCCTCAATATCATACGAATCACACGTGAATATTACCGAGGAATGTCCCCGTAAAGACATTATGATATCGCCTGAATGTCACGGGAATATTCCCACTTGATATCAATGTTACAATCAACCAATATTCCGTGCTACTTGGGCGCTTAACTTTACTTTTCCCTTATGACAGCAACTACTAAATAATCTATGTGACGGTCTCTCACACAGAAAATGTAACACATAACAAAACTTACATTCTACATTCATCAAACCTAAATAATTCTGTGGAACCTTACTTTTATTGAAAAGTTTAAGACATTATTGCATCTCTTACACTTTTTTATTTCGGTTATCGTTTTCACATGCCAAATTCTTTTCTTGACGCACTTTCTTTTCATCTTCCGTTTCCGTAGAAAATTTGTTCTTCTTACATGACAAATTATTTTCTTGACGCACTTTCTTTTCATCTTGAGTTTCCATTGATATTTTTCTTTCCCTACATGCCAAATTTTTATCCTTGTGTATTTTCTTTTCATCTTTAGTTTCTATAGATAATTTCTTTTTTTGCAAGTCAAATTTTTTTTGCGCTCTTTCTTTTGTATTTCTGTTTCTGTTTCATTACGATTACGTTTTCTCAATCTACCATTCTCTTGTCTAATTATTTTCTGTTCATATGTAACTTCGCGCGTTGCCTTCCCTTTTCTTTAATTCCTAGAATTATCTTTTTATCAATTTCTTCACTCAGAAAATACTTCATTTCTGAATATTCAAGTGGTGAAATTTTGTTCATATTATTATTAGTTGTACGAATTATTTTCTCTTCACTAGTGTCATTTAGAGAATGTTTAATTTCTAAATATTGTGTTAATAGAACTCTGTTAATATTATTGCTGGGAAAAGTATTAAAACAGAACAAGGGTTCAAAATATTATTTTTAAGTTCCTGAGCTCGATTTATGAAAAGACGGTTCCAATCATTCTCTATTATCGAATTCCTATTGTGAGACGTTCTTATTGACGGAAAATGATTTAAGCGATTATTTTCAAACATTGACTTTAAATGGTTTCTCATTCTGTTATTATCAGTTTCATAATTTACGCTGTTTGACATTACGTTAAAAAATATAGATGTTGCAAATGCTATTGCATATACTCCACACTCAACACTACCAAAAGGTTGTTGATCAACAACTACAAAAACTACTGTTGGTTTAAAAGGGAACAATCTAATTAAATATTTCATTTGATGCACATTTAAACACCCCTCATTAAGGCTATAAAAGTATAAGTACTTTGCATATTGAAAAAAGAATTGGAATCTTTTCTTAATAAATCTTCAAATTTGTACATATGCATGTCATTTAACAATTTATTTCTATTTTTAACAATTTTTAAATCTTCATCACTCAAAATAACATACTCTTTTATGTTGGCCATAGTATACTTCGTTTAATTTTATTTTTGATTCATGAAAATCTAAATATCTTTAATCCTCTCGCTCACTCTCTCCAATATAACAAATTTTGCCATTTATTAAATATAACCAATTTTGCCTTTAATTCAATATAACAAATTTTGCCTTTTATCCAATACAACTACCAATATCCAATAGAATTAGAGAACTATGAATGAGTAACTACTGATCAGCCAATAAGTGCAAAAGGACACTCTTATATGATTAATCAGTAGTTCATTACAGATACCATATATACATATATATACACTTGTATTAAAACCCCGGATTAATTACCACAAAAAAGCAACCCTTGGACAATAGAACCTTTGTTAAATAATCAATGAGAATTAACTCTGAGAACCCAAGTAATAATTTCTTTTCTCCCATTTATTACATGGAACAATACCCTTAGATAATAGAACCTTTGTTGATAAGGATTAACTCTGAGAACTTAGGTAATAATTTTTAAATTTTTTTATTAAAATTTTCAGGGACTCTAATACAGGTATGCACATATATATATATATATATATATAGATATATATATTTATTTTTATTTTCAAAACAAAAAGGAAGAAGATTAAGATTTTAGACGAAGATATTCTTATGCCATTTTGAATTGTCTAGATAGAGAAACGCAATGTTAAACGAAGAAGTACTTATGTTATATTCCTTGGTGTAAGAAAGAAAGGTATGCGTTACCTATTTAGTTTTAGACTTTCTTTATAGTTTTTTTACGTGATAAAGACAGAAAGAAATTATTACCTGGGTCCTCAGAGTTATTAATTAATCCTCTTTAAAAGATTGCAGGTCAAGTGAACCCTCATTTGCAAAATAAAGATATATCTTTCTCTCTCCATAACTTGTTCTTTTCTCTGTCACCGAAAACCCAGCAGGGGTCCGGACGGAATGAATGAATGGACGGAATGAAGGAATGAATTCAAAGATTATTATAGTTAATTTTTAAGAATTCATGAACGCACCCCAAACTTGTACACCTTAAGGCCCAGAAAAGCTTCCCAGAAAAGCCTACAGCACATTTTCAAAGTCGCACAGTAGTCCTGAAAGCTGAGTCGCGCTCCAAGACTCGAAAAAGTAACGCAATGCGCCCTCTTTTCTTCAGTGAACGGTTTAGGTCGTATAGGTCCTAGGTAACTTATTTTTACACCTCAATGAACCTTTTTACGATGCTAAATAAAAAATCCAGAGATAGGGATATTTTACCTATCTTAACCGTGGAGACTCTTCACGGTGCTCTAGAAGCGAAGATAGGTTTTACAAAAATGCAGATAAAAATGGTTTGTGTAGCATGTTTTGTACATTTTTATAGGTTAAAAATCTATTTAAAATAAAGTCCTTCCTGTTCTCATTTTGGAGAAATCCATGAAATTCGTTGTTATTTAGAAAATGAGAATTTAGAAATTGAATTGTATTTCTGCAGTATAATTGTATTAAAAATTATATAATAAAACAATGTTTAATACAATTATTCTGCTAAAATACAATTCGCAATTAACCAAACGAACTGTCAACGCATTATTTATTATTAGAAAGGTTGACTCAAAAATATTCAATAGAACGGGAGAAACGTTACTTTTTTTGATAGATTGTTACTAAATTTAATATACCTATTTTTAGTGCCATTGTGCCGCATTTTATCATAATTTTGACGTAATTACTGGTAGATCCAAAGATTTTAAAAAATTTCAAAAAATTAATTTTTAAATTTCATAAACAATTTTTTATTAGAACTATAAAATTTCTTACATACAAAATTAAAAAAAATACAAATTACTACGCTTTACGTAGGATGTTCAAGAGTTATTTCACCGAATTGCCTTTTAATTGCCTTTTTATTCACTCGCCGTCAGGAAGGACAAAAAATATTCTGTACCGTGAAGTGTTACAATAATATTTTATTTTCTTATTTTTATAAAAAACGTTAAAAAAGATACAAGTAAAAATCTACGTATGTAACACAATAAATTCTACCAATATTTTTTGAAATTGGAATGGGTGTTTGGGCATTTTGTAATTAATATCTCAAAATATCAGAAAAATTTCAGATAATATTAGTGGAATTTATAGTAAGTTTTAAGAAAAAAAATATTAACAATGATAATATGAAAATTTGTTGGTGCCCGAAAGATATGAAATTTTAAATTTTGAGCAATGTAAAAATTATTGATTCAAAATAAAATATTTCAAAGAAATAATATTAATTTTTCAGTAGGAATATTTATGTTTGAAGTTTTTTATTGATTTTAAATTTTTAAAAAATTCGAATATATAGAAGATTTTGTCAAAGAATACTGTTGATATGAAATACTTTCGGTGGCTTTTATCTGCATTTTTATGAAACCTATCTTCGCTTCTAGAGCACCGCGTCTTTACGAAATATTTTCAGAAAATTTTAAAATCGTAAAAATATACTCGCGAAACAATGCGAGAATTGTAAAAAAAAATTTATATAATAATGTTAAAAATATCGTAAATTTTATTATTCCTCTTTCTGATAAAAATGACGATTGTGAGAAAAGCTAAGCCAAACAGTGTCACATAAAAGGCTTCGATTTGAAGTAGAAAATATTAAGTTTCACTTGAGAATTGAATTCTTTAAGCGCAGTTACTATTTCTTCTTAAAGTACTGTAAGTATTTTATTATATTATATTTTGATAATTGGAGTAGTAATAAATAATGTTTAAAATATTAATAACACTATTACTTTTCAAAAATTTTTTCTCTTTACCCATTTGAGACGTTATTCGTGAACTGTTCAGCTTTTTTGGTCATGTCTTTCGATTGCTTTCAAACTTTATTAACTTATTCCTCTATATGATAGTAATTTAACCTGCAAGTATTAGATTTTTTTCCCGCCTAGTCCTTTCTTAGTTACAAAAGGTTGAATATTCAACCCTCACGCATTTTTTATTTAACATAAAAAAATGGTAAAATTAAAAGTTTATTTAAATTTTTGAGGTCTTTGGGCACGACTTTTTTTTATTTTTTAAAATGAAAGCATGTCTTTTTTTTAACTACAAAAACCTAAAGGGTCAAAATGGTATTCTCAAAAGTTTAGGAGATACAAATTTTTGAACGTAAGATGCAAGAGCCAAGTCGACTCACTTGACTCATAGTCCCACAAGTGAGTCGACGTGGCGCGTACATTTTATGTTCAAAAATTTGTATCTCTTAAAATTTCGAGATTACCATTTTGCCCTTTTAAGTTTTTGAAGTAAAATTAAAAGAATTCTCATTTAATCGAATTTTATATGTAATTCGAATTTCTAAATGACAAAAATTAAAATTCACCGAATTTCAAATTTATCCGAATTGTTATTTGATAGAATTTTTAAGACGCCGAATTTTCAGTTGTCCGAAATTACAAATGACCGAACAAACAATCGGCAGAAAGGTTTCGACGCAATTTTTGAAAATTGACCAATTAAGAATTATCAAGAAAATTATGTATGGTAAATTTTTAAAAATTGCACCGAAATCTTTCTGTCGATTGTTTGTTCAGTGATTTGTAATTTCGGACAAATGAAAATTCGGCGTCTTAAAAATTCTATAAATTAAAAATCTAATACTTTTAGATTAAATTACGATCATATAGAAGAATAAGTTCATAAAGTTGTGAACGAAAGAATCGAATCGAAAAACATGACAAAAAAAGTTGGACAGTTCACGAATAACGCCTCATAATTGTATTGTCTTTTTTTAAAATAAATAAATTTTTTTAATGCATCAGAAAAGGTCAGAAAAAAGTTTCTTCATACATATTTTACTCTGAAAAAAATTGAAAAATGACTCCTGATATCGTTAATGTAATTCTCGTCGTATTATTTATATCAAATCTACAATCATCAATTGAAGCCCAATTAAAAGGTATTTTGAGAAATCATTTTTAAAACGTTCTTTTTTTTTAAATGCACACATATATGTAAATTTTTAGTTTCTAATATATTTTTATAGATTCAATGTGTGGGCCATTGAATGTGAATGACCTATTAATAGCAAATAAAATCGCAAATATTACAATAAATGAAAAAGGCGACATTGCAACCGTTCATTGCCAAACAGATTATTCCCTTCGAGGAAATTCAAGTATTCCCTGCATTAATGGAAAATGGGACCAGAGTGAAGCTCCTATATGCTATCGTATGTATTTCACCGTCCGACACAATTTTTGACCCACAAAAAAATTTAACATTTTCGGAAACTAGGACCCAAAAAAAATACCCGTATCTGGCCGTTTTCCTAGATCAAGTCGTTTGTGGTTTTTAGGGATGAAAACAACCCCTAAATGAAAAGTGACAAGATATCTTTTAAAAATTATTAATATATTTTATAAAACTTGGTATCTGGGGATTTTCGGGGTCACTGATTATTAATCTGATGTCAAATTTTCAAAATTCAAAATGGCGGATCCAATATAGCGATCAAATTTTTAAAAAGTTATTAATTTTTTATTTTATATCCGCCATTTTGAATTTTGAAAATTTAACATCATATTCGTCATTAGCGACCCAAAAAACCCGTAGATACTAAGGTTTAAAAAAAATTTAATAACTTTTTAAATTTTTGACCACCATATTGAATCCGCCATTTTGAATTTTGAAAATCTGACATCGGACTAATAATCAGTGACCCCGAAACCCCCAGATACCAAGTTTTATAAAATATTAATAATTTTTAAAAGATATCTTGTCATTTTTTATTTAGAGGCTGTTTTCACCCCTAAAAACCACAAAACACTTGATCTAGCAAAACGGCCAGATACGGGTATTTTTTTTTTGGGTCCTACTTTACGAAAATGTTAAATTTTTTGTGGGTCAAAAAAAAAGTTGAATTTTGTCGAACGGTGTTTTATGACAAAAATTTTTTAATGACGATTATGAGAATGTCTAATTGCTAATTTTGATTTCATCTAGTATTTGGTAAATTGTTTCTATTTTTTATTACTTTTGTTGTTTTAATATTTTTATATTGTTTCATTGTTAATTTTCGTTTCTTATTAATATAATTCTTTGATTTTGTTGTTTTTAATGAATTTTTTTATTTTTTATAATTTTATTTATTGTCAGGCTCCCAGTAAATTAAATTCTAAGAAAATTTGAGTAAAATTTTTTTTTGCCTCCAGTACTATAATATAATTTTTAACATTGTTCAATTACAATTATTCTAAAATATTTCAGATAATGATTGTCTAAATAATTCTTTATATTACAATGTTACAAATACAACATTAATTTTAATCTACAGTAATTTGCGTGATGTATATTTAAAATATGTATGCAATGAAAATGACACAAAAAAAAATACAATTATTGTACGCTGTAAAGATGGACATTGGCATGGAAACTCTGATCAATGCAATAGTATTGAGAATATGAATACAAGTAATGAGAATAAAAATAATAGTACTATGAATATTGTTGATGAAGATAACGACGAAAATGTTGATTTTGATCCAACAGTGAAACCTTAATTATCCGAACTTTTTTTGCCTTTCCGAATCTTAAAATTGATTTTTTATTTTATTAATAAATATTTCTATTTTAATTATTATTTAATATCAATATAAATTGTATCCATTGTTTTACTTTAATTATATACACTTGAAATTTCTATTATCACAATCCGATCCTACCTAGGTTAGTTCGGATAATCGAGGCCCCATTGCATAATCCCTTATTAAAAATAATTACTGGAATAACTATTGGATTTATTGTGAAGCATGAAAAAGTTCTAAAAATCAATTGTTATAATTTTCATTTAATAAAATTTCATTAATTATAATTTTCATTGAGTCGAACTTTATTTGTTCGAATTATACTTTTGGTGAATTTTTATTTAATATAAAAGACATTTTTATGAATTTTCATTAATCGATTTAAAGAAAATTTTGCAAAATAATAATTCGAACAAATGAAATTCGATTCAATGAAAATTATATCTAATGAAATTCTATTAAATGAAAATTCTAACGCATTTCGATTAATTACTGGAAACTTCTGTTAAATTTTTTTTACGAGATGTATTTATTTGGTACAACATTTTTTTTTTAATTTCCGAGGAATCGTAATTTTTTGTTAAATATATTCCTATGCATTTAATTTACAACAAAAAAAACTATTGCGCCAACTTAGGAGCTATAGTAATTATTGTTCATAAGGAACATTTGGTTAACCAACCAAAAAACTCATAAAATTTTGTTCTTCAGCAATGATGGCGCTAGCCTCGTCAGTAAACATGTAATTTTTAATTGTATAATAAACTGATTTAAATTTATAATGTATTTTAATTTCATTCTCTAGTAAATTAAATTGTTGATAGATTTTTTGTATAAAAATTAGAAACAACCAAATTTTGGTTGAATCAACTAATTAAATGCATTGCTATTCTCTTAATCAAACTTTTGTTTGAATCAGTGCGATTCCAAGTGAGATTTTGACTTTTTCGGAGTAGGTTAACCGATTGCAATGAAACTTTGGAATTTTGTTATATATAGTAAGACTAATCTTTAACGTAAATTTCAGCCAAAAATATTTGTTAGTTTACGAGATTTGCAATAATAACAAAAAATTTTAAACTGCTATATCTTCCGTTCTAATAAACGGATTGAGGTCTACTTTTTTTTAAAATGTCAAGGAAAATGAGAGGAATAAATCTCTTTCAGAACATTTTTTTATAATTTTACAACTAAAAAAATTATTAAATAATAATTGAATAACTTTCACGCGACTAACTAAAATTCAATCACTTAAACGCTAAAATGATCTTACCTGTGTTTTCTTTAATGTTCCAAAGGATTTTTATTGTAAATGTAAGTTTAACTTAAGAAATTTTATTAATTTATTAGTATAAACAATTGAGATTTCTGCTAGTTGACGTGCAGACGACATTGCGCACGCAGCATTCTCACATAGCCAACTGACGTGATTCGTGGACTAAATTGGCTATGTGAGAATGCTGCGTGCGCAATGTCGTCTGCACGTCAACTAGCAGAAATCTCAATTGTTTATACTAATAAATTAATAAAATTTCTTAAGTTAAACTTACATTTACAATAAAAATCCTTTGGAACATTAAAGAAAACACAGGTAAGATCATTTTAGCGTTTAAGTGATTGAATTTTAGTTAGTCGCGTGAAAGTTATTCAATTATTATTTAATAATTTTTTTAGTTGTAAAATTATAAAAAAATGTTCTGAAAGAGATTTATTCCTCTCATTTTCCTTGACATTTTAAAAAAAAGTAGACCTCAATCCGTTTATTAGAACGGAAGATATAGCAGTTTAAAATTTTTTGTTATTATTGCAAATCTCGTAAACTAACAAATATTTTAGGCTGAAATTTACGTTAAAGATTAGTCTTACTATATATAACAAAATTCCAAAGTTTCATTGCAATCGGTTAACCTACTCCGAAAAAGTCAAAATCTCACTTGGAATCGCACATCAATCAAATTCTTTCTTTGTTAGAAAAATTTATTAAAATAAACAAAACGTTCATTTACATTAAATAAATATTTATTTGAATACAATAAATATTTCAAATAACCAAAAACTTGGGTTAATACAAAAAAATGGTATATTTGATTTAAACAAAACAGTTGTATCCAACTTCTGCGCAGAGACAAAATTTTCGACCGTAAAATGTACAAAAGTTCATTAACGAAAAACAAAGATTAAGAATCTATGTATAATTAGTGAGTTTTGTAATAAATTGTTTTTCTTCCTCCACTGAAATTTCCCTTATTTAATTTAATAAAAAGAATTTTGAAAAGGATTAATCAAAAAAAAAATTTTGAATTAACGTCACAAAACTATTTTTTCGACTTTGGATGAATTCACATGGACGCGTAAAGTGTCGCCTTTTGTAACTAGACCATGAATGAAAAAAGAACAAACATATATCTTTATGTCTTTTAAGGCGCTTGTATACCTCACCCATCCCGAGTATACTTGCGTCGTGTATCATTGGAGTAAAAGAGATGGAAATATCTTTTTGTCTCTTTTACTCCAATGGTACACGACAGAAGTATACTCGGGATCGGTGAGGTATACAAGCGCCTTTACACTCATGGTCTAGTGAGAAAACGCCAAACCCTGGTATGGGACTTCACCCTTATAAAAGCCTTTCTCCAATAGGTTCCTAAATGTTTGCATTGCGTGACTGAGGTTGGATTTACATCAACATGTAACTCCAACCTGACGCATTGATTCGCAAGCGTAGTGACGTCATCAAAGCATTGATACCAATCGCGAACAAAAAGTTTGGTTTATGATTTTAAGACACTGAATTTTTTAATTATAAATATTAAATTGCATTAAACATTAAACATTTAAACATTTGCATTAAAAATTGTAAAGATAGAAAACAGGGATAAGAGGAACATAAACCAAACTTTTTGTTCGCGATTGGTATCAATGCTTTGATGATGTCACTGCGCTTGCGAACCAACCCGTCAGTTACGCAACGCAAACAATTAGGATCATATTGGAGAAAGGCCTTAAGAAATCAACACTTCGACCTAAGAAGTGAAGCAAGTCTCTTTTCCGTAATTTTTCCAATAGTTCCCAATCGTCAAACCCCCTAGTCGCTACGGAAATTCGTTCCGCTTTAGGTTCTTAGGCTGTAGTCCCATGGCAGCGTTTTGCGTTGCGTTTTGTCATCTCTTTTACACTCATGGTCTAGTGACAAAACGCAACGCAAAACGCTGCCATGGGACTGCAGCCTTAGGTCAAAGTATGGATTCCCCATAAAGGTGCTTTTATACCTCCAGTATTTTGGTCAAGCAATCGGCTGGATTGAATTTTCAAAATACTGGAGGTATAAAAGCACCTTTAGAGTGAAGTACCATAGTAGGGTTTTGTAACTAGACCCAGTAAGAAACATGCTACATAAGATAGAAAAGGATACAAGTATATCTCTATTCTTTTTCATCTCATGTAATACGTTCACAAACCTATTATGCCTAGAGTTTTAGTGTCAAAATCAACGAACAAAAGGAAAGTTAGAAAAGTAACTTTAGGTTACGTCATGAACAGTGTATGTATGAGATAGAGTAACCGTACCCTAATTGATTTTTGAACCCAAATAAGGGTGCAATCCCATGAAGACGCGAATGCAGAATGCGGTTTCTCTCTCTCTTTCTCTCTCTCTCTCCTAATTTATTTATCAACGCAAAACACAGCGTTCATAGGCAATCATGTGAACACAGCTTTAGGGTCCATTAAGTCTACAATAATTTCTCTCGATTTTATAGTTATCTTAAGAATGTTACTATCTCATTTATCTAGTTCTCGAACAATCTTCGCGAAACTATTGTGCATTGGCCCTAACTCTAACTCAAACGTTCTTATGGAGCATTTAAGTTGGTTCTACAATAAGCGCGTCGGACGTGGACGTGAACGTGTACCTAATGAAAGAGAGGGGAATAAATGCATATCTCCATACCCCTCTCTCTCATTAGGTATACGTTCATGTTCACATCCGACGCGCTTATTGTAGAATCAACTTTATGCTGACTCTACATTAGCTGCGCAAAGGTGTACGTTAACGTGTGACGTCACCCATTTGAATAAAGTCGGTTCTACAATGGGCACGTTTGTACGTGAACGTATACGTTCCGTGCTGACGTCACCCATTTGCAGAACATTGTGACGTCAGCACGTACACGTTCACGTTCGCTTACAAACGTGCAAATTGGAGAACCGACTTAAAGTCGGTTCTACAATGTACGTGTACGTGAACGCGACGTGCTGACGTCACCCATTTGATTAACATTGTGATGTCAGCACGTCGCGTTCACGTACACGTTCATTGTAGAGCCGACTTAACATTTGACTCCAGCACGTTCACGTTCACGTACACGTTTTCGCAGTCAATGTAGAGTCAGCATTAAGGAGAGTCGGTTTCTGAACGTCGATGTATCATTCTGTCTTGTCTCTCCCATTGTCTGACGACGTTCACAGACCCGTATTCCGGACTCTCTTTTACACCTTCAGTAAAAAATTTGCGGAACACCATTAAAGAAAAGGATAGTGATATATTTGTCTCCTTTTCTATTTCATGAAGAACGTTCATAAATCAGTTGTACTTAGGGTACGGTTACACTATCTCATGCATAATTGGTTGGTTTCCATTGTCCCCACTCGCCATTTATCATAATTCTCGTCAACTACCTAGTAAAAATTTAGTGACCGCTCCATTATTGTTAAAATTAAAAGTTACTAAATTTTTACTAGAGCAGGCTGAGGACAATGGAAACCAACCAATTTAGCTCAAAAAAAAATGGCTAGGTAAGTCTCCATATGGTTTTACTATCTCATGTATACAGAAACATTTGGCCGTTCACACTTTGATGAAATCTAGTGAATATGTAGTAACTTTCTAATAATTTTCCAAAAATTTCGATTGTAACTAAAAAGTTACTAAACATTCACTATATTTCATTGAAGTGTGACCGGCCAAATGTTTCTGCATGCAAGCACAGTGAATGTATGAGATAGTGTGACCGTACCCTAAAATATAATCTCCAACTGGTGAGTCACACGGGACAGATTAACGGATTAGGAGAATAGACTTCAGCCAATTAAAATTTATTCTTTTATGGCAAATATTACTTTACCGCAAGAGAGTGCATTTTGATTGGTCGACGTATATGTCTGTCTTTCTCTGTCTCATTATTCAACGTAAGATGCAGCGTTTGAAGCAAGTAAACAGCCTCTGAGGATAGCACAATGCTCTATCACTCATATATTTTTTGCCAACGCTTTTAAGAGCCCGTCCAATGTAGGCGTAAAAGCGTAAACCACGTGAGTGAAAGAGAAAGTGATATCTAATTATCTCGTTTACTCACATGGTTTTTATTTTCCACTGACGATTTCACGCCAATAAGGGACGGGCCCTTTATTTTTACTCCAAAAATTCACATTGTACTGAGAGAAAGCGAGCCCCCAACTACAGTCTGTCTCACTCGCACTCACGCTTCTCTATGATTCATAGTTTTGACCTCTTACAGTACATATTTTTGGAATTCCATCGTAACTCTAGCTTCGATTTAAAAATATCGTTTTTCTGTAAATGGTGCAAATCCTCTTCCATTGTAGACGCAACTTTATCGATTCGAGCTTTTAAAGGCCTTTCTCCAATAGATTCCTAAATGTTTGCGTTGCGTGACTGACGCATTGGTTCGCAAGCGCAGTGATGTCATCAAAGCATTTATACCAATCGCGAACAAAAAGTTTGGTTTATGATTTTAAGACACTAAATTTTTTAATTATAAAT